TCTATCTATCTATCTATCTATCTATCTATCTATCATCTATCTATCTATCTTTAAGTACCATACATCCTTGTTTCCAGCTCATCAGGATGCCTGGGATAAACATTTACAGGTTGGACATGAAATTCTTCTTTGCTGGTGGCCCCCCCAGCCCCTGCAATACCCAGGAGGGAGCCAGGAGCTTCCAGCTGCAGCTCAGAGCAACATGGGGCCCCTTGAGAAAGAAGCCAGACACACTCTCTGTCTTTGCACAGGTGGCCTGTGTTTTCTGATGCCCTGTCAGGTTGGAGACTCCTCAACCAATGGCTCCCAGGGTGACAAGTTTTGCCTGCTGAGATCTGGGATCCTGAATGCCTACCTGCACTGGCCTTTATCAGCTCATGGACAGGCAGGTGTCTCTAACCGAGCAAGCAAAGGTAGCCAGTTCTGAGTCTCATATGCAAGGTCCGACAAAGAGGCAAATGACGAGGACCACCTGCCCACTGGAATTGGCTGAAACCCAGACGTGCAGCCTTTGCAAATAGATCCTGTCTCTGGCACTTTGGTGACCCAAACTGCAAACTGGAGGATGCATGGAGCATGCTGGCTAGTGGCCAGCTGATGGCCACAGATGCTCATATTAGGACGGCCTGGCAAAATCTCAAAGGAAGAAAAACCCTACCAACATGTTTATTACTTTCTGCAGAGGTGTGGCTGGATACTCTGTGCTCTTGGCACAAGGGTTCCCTTTGGTGGTCCAAGCAGATGGAGTCTCTGATAATCCACCACTCATTACTGTGGAAACGAGGTCCAAGATGAATTATAAATCAAAAGACTCCTATTGAGGAGACTGTCACCAGGATTCCCATTTCAAGACTAGAGCATCTGAACTCATGACCAGAGAGGTCAGGAAACTCAGAGTTTTGATGGCATGCATACATCTCATAGGAAAGATACTAACTCTGTGAATTCACAAGTGGAATTAGGGACTTGCTATTTAGACCAACGCAATGCCTAACAGAACTTTGAACCTGGTAGGTGGTCAGTGAATAAGTTGTCAATGATTAAGTGAATGATTTGAAATGGAGAGCATCTGCCTGCATCTCTTCTCAGACATAGACGGGTTTGACGAGCAGAGATGGATGGAGCAGCCCTTGGGCCCTGCCTCACACTCTCAGCCTACATTTGATCCACCCAGAACCACAAGGACCCACTTCCAGGAGGGTGAGACCTGGCAGCACCGCCTTCATCTATGTTCCTATCCCTTGCTTTCTCCCCCAGGGCTTCTGTGACTTCCCAGAACTGTGAAAACTACCTGGACGTCATCCATGCATGGCCATGATCCTCAGAGGAAACCTGCCCTGTGGGGTCAGGGGCTGGTGGATAAATCCTCTTCATAGAGACAGGCAATTATGCAGCTCTTACTACTCATTAGAAGTCCAGGCAGGACAGACCCCCACTGGCCACGGTGGAGACCAACTCAAGGATGCACCCTTGTGTTTGCTTTAACCTTCTTTCTGATCTTTCCCATCCCCCACTCCTGTTTGCCAGGATCACTTCTCACAATCAACTTCCAAGCACGTGTCTCAGGCTCTGATGTCCATATCCCAGACTAAGACAAGAGGCATCCCTTTCTCCCTCAGCACTAAGGGGCTGACTCTCTTCCCATCTTCTTTTTTTGCTTTTTGCATCTTGGTTCCCTGTTGTCCCAAGAGGCCACAGATAAGTTCTAAATTAGGATATTCATTTTTCATTCATGCATTAGGTCATCCAATATACGTGTGCAAGGTACTAACTCACTCTACGGGTCTGGGTGATAATAAATACAGAGAAGTCTAGAATAGAAACTTTGTTATCAAAAAACTTATCATTTACTTAGGAGAAAACTACACTCCAAAAGAAACCTGTTTAAAACTCTTCTGTTCTAATGTGTTTCAAAATGTTCATTGGGAACAGAAGACGTTAAAACCCAACATGAAGATTATCTGAAGAAGGTGGATACGATTAGTGTAATCAGTGGACATTCTTCAGTAGTCAGGGGGGCCGGCTTCTGTTTATATTTTTGTCAGATGTCCCCATCAGCAATGTAGAGAATGAATTGGGAAGGTCAGGAACTCAAGGAGGAAAGTGGGGTAGGGAGGCCATGGTCCTGGTGATGGAAGAAGGTCTAGAAGCAAGACACATGCCTGTCAGGATGGAGAGGAGGGGCACACACAAGGCACGATGAAGAAATAATGTTGTCAGAACTTGGTGGTCTCTTGGAATTGGAGGTTGGCCAAGAGGAAGGCTTCAATAGCACTGAATGACTTGGCATCTGGTGACATGCAACCCTCAGCCCTGTTGAGTCAATACGCAGCTGATGACCAACAGCAGATGACCAAAGCTGGCAAGAGTAATGTTGCAGATGACAAAATCAAAATTCAAAATGACCATAATAGATGTGAAATCTCAGCTGATTACATATAACAGAGGATTACATAACAGAGACAAATGTGGTATTTTGCCTTTGCAGTGAGACTCTGAAAGAGTCTGGATTCCACATTAGTCAATTTGTATTTGTCAGATTCCTACTTATACCTCAGACACTCCGTATACCCCATGCCACTTAATCCTCAAAACGACCTGTGAAATAGGCACTGTTATCCCTATATTAAAGATGGGGTAGCTAAAGCTTACAGAAATTAAGTCAATCTTTCAAGGTCTCAGAGCCAGGGAGGGACGAACCCAGGATTGGGAGCCCAGGTGTTCCGATACCAACTCCAGAGTCTCTCTCTCCACCAGACTCTCCTCTTGGCTTCCCATCATGGTAGGGGGGAAACAAACAGGCACCGTGGAAAAAAAAGTGGGATGATGTTATAACCAAGTGATGTGAATAAGATTACTGCTTGTGGTTATCCTAAGCTGCACCTGAACTCCCCCTGCAAGCTTCAATAGGTCATCCAGGAACAGGCAGGTCTACTAAACATTCTCCCCGTGGATGATTTGGTTGTTGTTTCCTTTTTTCTCTCTCTGGTTTTTGTTTATTTTTGGTGGGGAAGATATGTTTTTGAAAACACAAGTAAGTCATGTCTTAGTTGGCTCGGGCGCCATCACAAAATACCACAGGCTGGGTAGCTTAAACAATAGACACTTATTTTCTCACAGTGCTGGAGGGTGAGGTCTGGGATCAAGGTGTCCCTGGGGTTGATTTCTCCTGAGGCCTCTCTTTGGCTTGGAGATGGCCAGGTTCACCCTGGGTCCTTACGTGGTCTTCCCTCTGTGTGTGTCTGTGTCCTAATCTCCTCTTCTTATAAGGACACCAGTCATATTGGATTAGGGCCCATCCTAGTGACTTTATTTAAAGACCATATCTCCAAATAGAGTTACATTCTGAGGTCCTGGGGGTTAGGGCCTCCCAGGGAGGAATTCTCAGGGAAACATAATTTAACCTATAACAAGTGGTGAGTGAGGCCCTTTACTGGAGATGAACTGGGTAGACAGTAGAGGTGGGCGCTGATTTCCAAGCCTTTGTCCTTCCCTTAGGTGGAACTAGCCCCGCAGACTCAGAAGGACCTAAACTGTGGCCCGTGTGAGTCTCATGGGGCCAGGCTGCCGGGGGCTCTGACGACCAAGCGCTTCTTCAAATCCCTGCTGCCTCTGGGGAACGCACACCTGGGGTCTGACAATTCTGCTTAGAAACTTAAAAATCCTCTTGTGGAGAATATTCTCCACAATTTACTGGGGCTTGTTGGTCCATAGGAAGTGGCCTTCAAAGACTTCGTCAATGAATATGGTTCCAGAAAAAATAAAAACTTCTCCTGATAAACCCAAAGTCTGTTCTCCTAAGCACACATGGAAAATGGAGTCCTGTTTAGAGAAAAGTGACTACTTGCCTGTGACACACTGATTTTTCCCAGTGTATCATTTCAGCATTTAAGCTAAAGTCCCCATTGATAAATAATATAATCAAGCCCCCCAGTCTGTAATGACACAGTACAAGAATGAGGGGTGTAAATACCACTCTTCTAGAGCCCAGAGTTGCTCTTATCCTTGGCAGTTTTTATCCTATTTGAAAAATAAAGGGAAAAAAACCCCTAGCATGCTGGATTTCACTTCATGTATGACCCTTCTATACACACGTGGTGCCTACCCATCACAAAGCCAAAGCTCCTTTCTAGAATCTCATCCCATCCCTGAGCCAGCAAATTGGCCATTTACATATTTTTAGAAACAAATGGCTTGAACTTTATTAAGAACAGACTTGAGATAATTTCAGCACTTACTGCAGAAATATCTTCTGCTTATGTAATAGTCAATCCCAGAATAACTAATAAGAGGGGAAACTTCCACTGATTCAGCACTTACTGATCATCAGGCATTGTGCTGGACACTATCACGTATGGAATATCTGATGCACACCCAGCTCTTTATAGCAGTCCTCAGAGATAAATGTCATGGGAAAACTTAGGGTTTTTGATCTACAGGCCTGATATGCACATCAGTGTGAAAATTACATGTATGTGGGCACCTGGGTGGCTCAGTCAATTGAGCATCCATCTCTCGATTTTGGCTCAGGTCATGATCTCAGGGTCATGAGATCGAGCCCTGCATTGGGCTCCACACTTAACACAGAGTCTGATTGAAATGCTCACTCTCCCTCTGCCCTTCCCCCTGGCTCTTGTGCTCTCATTAAATAAATAAATAAATAAATAAATAAATAAATAAATAAATAAATAAATAAATAAATCTTTTTAAAAAATTGTATGTATGTGGTGGAACAGGCATTTTTTTGTGTTCCATTACCTTAAATAGCATGCCCCTTCTCCCTGTCTCACTGAAGGCTGGGTCCATGGTTAGACATTGGAAAGATTACGTGTGTGGCTCTACAAAGACTACCCAGGGCTGGCCACTGTGTCAGAGCTGAGGTCTGTGCTTATGAGGTGTGGCCAATCTCTTTCTCAATCTGATGACAACGTTCCAACCTCCAAGCTCCCTTTGCCTCCTCCCCCAGGGGGACCTCTTATCCCTGCCCTTCCGACTCACAAATGTGCATTGAAGCCCTCAGCAGGAATCAGACAAGCAAGGGGCAACATCAGGCCTGAAAGTTACCTTGGCGAGCATCTGGATGCCTCTCCCTACTTCACAGTTAAAAGACGGAGTCCTAGACAGAAGAACCCTCTTGCCCCAGGTCAAGACAGAGGTGGACTTTAGGCTGCAGAGGTGGTCTCTACTTGCCTTGTACCGGGCCCTGGGATGATGAAGGCAGAGGAATATTGCTTCTGGGGGCCAGATAGAGGAGGTGTGACTCCAGATTGGATATCAAAGGTATGCTCCCAGCTGGGCCCTTTGCAATCTCTAAGAATTGGCTAGATCCTAAATTACCTACCCTGCCCTGCCTTGCTTTTTTCACAGAAACCACAATAAAGACCTTGCTCTCCTGGTTCCCATCACTCCCGACTTCGGCCTCCTGACCACCCAGGTGCTTTCCCACGTGGCCTTGTGTGGGTGCTGTGCCTCCCGTCCCCAGGACCTGGGTGCACACTAAACTCTGCTTTCCTGAGCTTCTCCCCTGTCTCCTCTTCTGGCATCACCTGAATGACCATTTCAGAAAAATACACAAAACAGGGCGCCTGGGTGGCTCAGTCGTTAAGCGTCTGCCTTCAGCTCAGGTCATGATCCCAGGGTCCTGGAATCGAGTCCCACATCGGACTCCCTGTTCGGCGGGAGGCCTGCTTCTCCTTCTCCCACTCCCCCTGCTTATGTTCCTGCTCTCGCTGTCTCTCTCTCTGTCAAATAAATAAATAAAGTCTTAAAAAAAAAAAAAAAGAAAAATACACAAAACATGTTCAGGTGTCCAGGTTTACAGGGGAAGCTTGGAGAGATTGAGTGGCTCATTCGAGACAACACTGCTGGTAGGTGGCAGATCCGGCTTTCAACCCCAGCTATCCAACTCTCTGCCCTACCCCAGTGCACGGCCCACCGCCACAAACCCCCCCAACCCCCCCAACCCCCCGCTCTAGCAAGAGCCTACTCCAGGAGTTCCGGAGTTGCACTCCAGCTCCCCAGCCTGCCCCCAGCACAGTCACATGAGGCCCTAATCTGACATCAGTGAGGGCAGCAAGCATGTTTCTCTGTTTCTATCTTTCTGGACAATTTGTTCCACAAGTGCTTGTTTTCAAACAGCTCAGTATCAGTCCCCCAGGGTTTCCACCCGGCTCTTGGTTGGACGATTTTCTCAAATCCATCTTTCTTCACTTGTTGAGCCTGTTGTAAAGTATTTTAAGGAGGTTGGAAATGATTCTCACTAATAGGCATGTAAGGAATCTGGGCCACACTTGCCAGGAATCTAGGCACTTACTGGGTTTCCTCTTCTCCAAACATGAGGTTGGCAGCCCCCATGTCAAATCTCTCACGTTGCCCTTCTTCCAAAATCAGACTCATGGTACATTAAGATGCTTTGAGCTGAAAATGACCTGAATAATCATTTACTTCTCATTTTCACATGAGGATATTAAGGCGGAGAAAGGTGATATGAAATGTTCCGGGTCATCTAGATGGCTGGTGGCAGAACCAGGGCTAGGACTCATATTTCTTGAAAACCCAGGTCACATCTCTTTCTATTAGACCACACTGCTCTCCTACCCACCCACCTACTCATCTAATCGGCCCTGCAAATCGTCACTGACAATAATGCAAAAAGCATGTCCACCTTAAACAGAGCTTTTCCAATTAAAAACCTTGACACTAAGAGTAAGAGTTACTATGAAGTATTAATTAGTCCCCAGAGCATCTTGAATTCTTAGCTTGGATATCTGTAGTAATTGCAAAAGAGGCATATGAAATCGTGCCAGCGGCAATCATCAGTCACAATGTGATATCATGTGAATTCAGAGCCTTTCTACAATAGAGAAAAATCTTAATGACAATTTTAAACATACTGTAATAAAAAAACACTACCTACGTGTCATATTTACAAATGTCAGTTTCAAAAACCGACAGCTTTGTGTGAAGTACAAAAGATTATATAAAAGAAGCGGATTTTAGAATTTCATAGATTCTAAGAATTAGATGGGCCCTGAGACGCATTAGAAAAGAAGGAATATTGAACCTACGATCCAAAGTCCTGCCCATTACTTAACTCAGGTTCATCATTCTGAGTCTCTTCCTTTCCATCTAAAAATAGAATTAACAACATCAACCACAGGGGGTTGCTGTGAGGACCAAAGAAAAGAATAAACTTTAATTGAGCACTTACTATGGACCAGGCACTGAGTTATGTGTTTTATGCAGCTATTATCTCATTTGAGAAAAATGTGTGGGAAGAAAACCCCACATCTATTGCAAAGCCCTGATTGGTATTCACGTACACCCTCTGCTCTAGCTACCCTCCTTTTCCTCACTGATTATCAGATTTGTGGGTGTTCATACTCATTATGGAACATCAAACAGGGGTTTACATTTCACAAAGCACTGTTATGCGCTTGATCTTTTTTGTGTTTGTTCCTTTCTGGTGACCTGAACACACAGTTCTTCACCTTCTTCGCCCGCAGGGTCCCCCAGTACTGTTCACCCCGGGACCTGTAATCTTTTGGTACTTTGAAAAGAGATCCCAGAACATTGACTCCCCTCTTTTCAAACTACCCCTAAGCTTGTTGGCTCTCTCACTGTCTTCAGTGGGCAGACTGATCCTGGTAACTTGCCCTCCTCCATTTGCTCCCCTCGGGCCATATTTGAATCACTGTTGTGCCTGGATTCAGAGCTATGCCCCAGGCCTCTGAGGAAGTTTACCTACCTCTCTATGCATCAATGATAAACCCAAGGCAACTGCTTTTACTACTTGGACCGCACAGTACTGCTGAAGAAGTGTGTGGACTTGGCCCATGCTCATGCTGTTGGAATATCCCTGGCGTTGAACTGCTTTCAGTGGGTTGGTGGGCTGGGAAAAAAATCCCGTAGCTGTCATTCAAAACCTTCTCCAAGCCCCTTAGCGCCCAAGCCTGCTTTATTCCTCACTCTATGAAGTAAAGCTCTACCTGCTTTACCAATGCAAGGGCCACTTAGCATGAACTCTACGTCCTCTGCATTTCACATCTCTCTGCATCCACACTGTTTCCTCTGAGATCAGAGAGTGAAGCATCCTTATCCCTTCTCAAGGTGACCTACAGCCTCTGCATTTCTATACCAACCCCACCCCCCACCCCCGCCCCACTAGCTCCCCACAGAAAGCATGTTGGGGGAGATGCCTGTGATTCCTTCAAGGACTCCTGCACAGCTGGAGTCCCCAGTGGGAGGGAGGGCGGGATATGTTAAGGAGTTAACTACCAACTAGGGAGGATCCGCCACAAGACAGTCATTTAAATATTTGAAGACAGATCTCCTTTCCTTAAGGTTTCTAGTCTCTCCACTAACAAAGGTATTTTTTGAATGTGTTTCAGCTTGTCTGCATCCCGTGGTAAAGGCTTAACAGCTAGTCCTCCAGGAGAACAACAAAAATCCCACTTTGTAGCGCTTGCCAATTTCTGAGGTGTAAATATTCCCACTATGGCCGATTTCAAGCTCCCGGCGTGACCTCACTAAATATGGAGTTGGGAAAAGATGCATACAGTTAGAGCCAATTCCAGCACTCCACAGTCTACATCCATCTATAACTGTAGTGCCCAGAGGATGGTTAGAAAAAACACTGAGGATAGTCAGAAAAAAACCTCACCTTATGACCAGCTTTGTAATAACAGAGTCAGGAAAGCATTATGAATGGATGCTAAAATCATTGAGTGAAAAAAAGATGGTTGGTATCTGCACAATATCAAAGTGTCTCCCAAAGATCACTTCTTAATTAGAAATGGAATAAAGATACCTTTACAGTAGATAAAGACCTTAACCAAGTGATTATGTTTAACGTTACCAATAAAGGGAAAAAAATGATGCAATATGCCCCCTTATGTGATGCGCTGAGCAGGATTTATGAAGTATTTCCACCAAGAATGTTTACCCTCTATCTAATCACGGGGAAATAATCAGATGCACTCAAAGTGAGGAATATTATAGCTAGCAGGTGACCTATGTTCTTCAAAAATATCAACGTCATGAGAAACAATGAAAGGCTAGGAGCCATTCTAGATAAAAGAAGACCAAAGAGACGTGATACAACTAAATGCCTGATACTGGATCAGATCCTGCATCAGGGTAAAAAAAAAAAAAAAAAAAAAAAGCTATGGAGGACATCACTGGAGCAATTGAAGAAAGTTAATTGTGGACTATATGTTTGTAATTGTACCAAAGCTGAATTTCTGAATTTAACAACTATAAGGGGTGATATAAGAGAATTCCCTTGCTCTTGGAAGTAAATACTAAATTATTCAGGGGTGAAGCTTGCAATTTACTTCAAACGGTTCCACAACAATAAAAATAGTAATAACAATATGGGGGGGACTTGGAGAGAGGGAGAGAGGGGGAAATGTAGCGAAGTGTTAACAGTTGATGGACCAAGATGAAGGGTATATGAGTGCTTATTATGTTTTGAACTTCTCTGTAGGTTTAAAATGTTTTCAAAATTTAAAAAAATGGAAAAAAGAAAGACAAACACTGAGGAGTTGTGGAGTTGTCTAAATTACATTGGGCGCAACAGGACTATCACCTCCCTTATTCTCCATACTATACCTCTATTAATATAAGTTCGACTGCAATCGCTTTTGGTGAGCAGCCACATCATACATTTACTCATACTGCCAACCTCAAACCCTAAACCTTGCTTTAAAAACTGCTATCAAGCACTGTAGCACAGAATCTCATGCCCATCCATATCAGATTCTCAGGTCTGGGCTAGCTTCCTGGGTCTCAGACTCATTTTGGATTCTGGTTTGCATTCCTTTGAATTGAATGCAGATCTCTGTGAACCGCAAAGAACATAAACATGTTATCTGGGATTGAACTACATTCAACAAAATTTATTGACCACAACGTGCAAAGCAGTGGATCGGATACTAAGAAATCAGCAATAACTAAATAAGATGTGATCATTGATTGTAGGCTTCCGGAAGGTAAGAACTAGGCCTTATACTTCCTTGGTCACCCACAGCACCCAGTGGTAGTGAACAGGTGGTAGATACTTATTAACTATCTGTTTTGGCCCCACATAGGTGAGCAGGCGAAGGGCTTAAAGAGACAATTCCCTTAAGAGATGATATAATGAATAATCAAATATATGAAAAACTTTATGAGATCATTAGTTATCAAAGAGATATAAAATAAAACGAATGAAATCTCTCTAAAAATTATGGGACAGTGCTACATCATGCTGGCAAGGGTATGGTGAAAACTAGTACTTTTATACATCGTTGATGACAGTGTAAAATGCCTTTGGAAAGCAATTTGGCAAGATGTATCAAGAGCCATAAAAATGTTCACATCCTTTGTGAACATAATCTCACCCTTGGGAGTTTACCCTAAGGAAATAATCCAAAAGAAGGGAAACACTATATAGCACAAAGAAACTCATTGCCCTTTTATTTCAGAAGTGAACAATGGAAAAATCATGAATGAACAATTCAAGAATAATTAAATCGTGGGTATATCAGTTAGATGGATTAGATGGACTTTGATGAAGCCCCGCAAATGACAGCTATGAGGTTTATTATGCAACAGTGTGGGAAATGCATATGCTATAATATTGAGCAAAGAGGCGCGCGAGCACGCACACACACACACACAGAGGATTAAAAGAAAACTGGGATTGCAGGGGCGCCTGGGTGGCTCAGTTAGTTGAGCATCTGACTCTTGATTTCAGCTCAGGTCAAGATCCTGTCAGGGTCTTGAGATCAAGCCCCCCATAAGGC